TACGCACTCTAGTAATGGTTCCCCCTCATTTCTTTATCCAGCAAGACAATAACATTTTTCAGAGTTTTTGCTATCTTTCCCTGAACAAATTACTGTCAAGATTTGAGATGGAGCTGTTGCTGAAACTTCTTGTGAGGTTGGGGAAGCAAGCGTCTCACTCGTTTATCCCGATTGGTTTTGCAATACAGTCATGTGCTATCAGTGGGATTTATTGGGTATATAGTTACCTGAAAGAATGCAGCCTCAGAGTACTTTTTGTAAAAAAATGTGTTTGATCTTTTTTTAAAAAAAAAAATTGGCATGATGAAGGTAATATTTTTAAAGAGAAGATGGGCTTTAACAAATTATTTGAGCATGAATTAAGTCATTTTGTTGAGGACATTATGGAGGATTGAATTAACAACCAGAATTATGTAGGCATCTCCATAGCCCCTCTGTGTGTGTGTGTGTGTGTGTGTGTGTGTGTGTGTGTGTGTGTGTGTGTGTGAGAGAGAGAGAGAGAGAGAGAAAGAGAGAGAGAGAGAGAGAGAGAGAGAGATCATAATAGGACTGGTAGCCCTACTAGGGCTTTCAGGATAAGTAAAATATTTAAGGAATGGTTTTACCATTTCCACTTCCCCAACCAGTTTCCATGGCTGAACAGGGATTCGAACCTTGTTCTCCAGAGTCCTAGTCTGTCATTCTACCCACTGTGGTGTTTGTATGAAGTCTGGTGTTTTTGTGAGCATGTGGATGGATGAGCACACAAACCTGCAGCAGTGTCCAGCAGTAAATTTGGGAGTGCAGCTACTCATCATGGCATACTAAGTCATAGCCAGCTGTCCTCCAAGGAGAGTCAAAAAGCTGGATCAATTTATATCAACAAATGAGCAGCACATCTTCTGTAAGGTTTGTGATTGTTAATTGGCCATCCCAGACAAAACTATCTTCACATATTTTGCATTACAGCAGGAATAGCTTGCAAAAATATCTCAGTCCTTGGAACACTAGTTTTTCTCTTAGGTCATGGGAGGGTTGCACCTAAGCTCAGAGAAAACAGGGAAGCCTGAGGGGGACAGCAGGCAATGTTATAGACACTGCTAGTCATAAAGCCCTTGGGTTTTCTCTATGTTAGTTTTGGCTCTGCTGCAACATTGTGTTTCTCACTAGCACCTGTTTTCATACTGTTCATGATGTGATTACTGTCAAGTGACATAGATTTCCCTGATCCCACTCACACTGTGATTATTTAGTTTTAAAAATATTTCTAATGATTTTTTTTGGATACTTGTGATGATAGTTCCCAATGATGGAACCAGGTCACGATAATCCCAAGGAGAAAACTATGTTGGATATCCACCCTCCCCATACCAATACAATTTCACTTTGGTATGCTGCTACTTTTCACCTCCCTCAGACTTTTGGCACTGGGTACTACGGGGTTTATCTCCTAGTTCCTATAGATATCAGTTCTCACCCACTAGTCTGGGGTCAGGGCTGGATGAAGGACTACCCCCCCCCATACTTTTCAGACACAGCTGGTAAGGATTTGATTAAGTTTATTTTTTTTTTAAAAGGAAAAATAAGAAATTAAAAGGTTATTGCAAGAGTTGTAACAGTTCCAAATTCAAACAAGTTTGGATACAAGAGTACAGAATATAAAACAGCAACGCCAGAAAATAAAGAAAACTATCCTGTCTTTTACTCTACTAAACAAACACAACATGGAAGCACTCATCTCCCAAGATCAGAGTGAGACCCTAATCCACTTTTCTCAGTTTTCTGTATACTATTGACGGGCACTCATTAATTGCCCTTAATCCACTTTGATGACTGGTAACAAGATACTCCTATCCTGGAGGCTGATTGGAAAATTCCAACCAGATGCCACCAGAAATGAGGCATTTAAAAAGACAACCACCCCGAAATCAGTTGACACCAGCTCTCAACTCACCTTAAGTAAGAAGCAGTGTGTCTCGTACATTTCTTCTTCTGTGACCATTTTGAAAGTTTCATTCATAATTTTTCTGTCCTGTGCCTGATGTAGTGAATTTTATTCATGAAAGCTTGCACTGAATGTGTCACCTCTTCTACTTTTAGATAGTGTAAAGGACCACGTGGCTATGTCTGTGGTTGTTTATCATCATCATTATCATTATCATTATCATTATCATTATCATCATCATCATCA